GGAATATCTCTGCCTCAGCACCCCAAACAAATATTTGTCTAACCTGCATTTAAAAACTTCCAGCAAAGGGGACTCCACAACCTCTCTAGGTCCTCTGTTCCAATAGTTAACCATCTTCAGAGTTAGAACATTCTTCCTAATAGCTAACCTAAATCTTCCTTATTGCAATTTATTCCCATTGCTTGTCCTGTCCATGGTGGACAAAGACAACAACTGAGCATCATCTTCTTAGTAACAATCCTTTTTGTATTTCAGGACTCTTATCGGATACCCCTTGTTTTATAGTCACTTAATCCAAATTAACACACTTGGGGAATTGTTTCTGCATGTTCTTGACTGGAGAAACTGTAGGCAAAATGCTGTCATTGTCAAGAAGATGCCAGTCCCCCAGAACCTCACCTCGTGCTGAATGCGGCTACCAACTCTACTAAACAAACTTACTTTTGTTTTACAAAGTAAAATGAATCTCATCCTTCCCATCCCATGCATTCAAATAGCACGCTGATGAGCAGACTTTTGAAAACCAGATATTCCTTCATATATTAAGGGGAGTTTAAACAGGGAAGAAGCCAAATGGATTGTGCCAATGGGGAAACCACAAGGCTAGGTTCTTAGAAATGGGAAGTGCAGCAACCATGCTTTTCAGTAGAAGTTTTCAAGGAGGTGGGATGGAGAAAGACATTTCTTCTTCAGTCCTCCTGACTCTTCCATCCAAAGCACGGAGATGCTGCTTCTGCCAGTGACAGACCATACGCGTTCCTGCCAACCCTTTGCTGTTGACTAGGGACAAATATCAGATAAACATCCATCAGAGAAGAGAATACAGCTCTGTATGTAGAGGTGCAGGGGAGCCTCACTGGGGATTGTGTGAACCCTGGTGGGATGGGTTGTGTGTATTTGAAAAAGGCTGTTTTGTGACCGAACCCTTCTCAAGTGCTTGTGATATATTGGTGGTTACTGAGCTCAGACCTGCAAAAGGTCCTTTTACAGTACATGGTGGCGAGGTGAAAAAACCATCCTGCTGAAATCAAAATATTCTTTCTATTCCCCCTGCCCAGTTTCTCTTTCTTTCCAGCTTTCTTCTCCCTCTGCCTTCCCCTCCTTTCTCTCTCCCCACCTCTGTTTCTCTCTTCTCTCCTCTGTCATAAGAAAGTGACTGTGTCCTTTGAAGGAACAGTTTTCTTATGCCATTTTATACACTGTGCTTCATGTTTAGAACTTTTTTGCACTAGTTCCTATTACATTTATTTTCCAAGATGGTTTGACAAAAAAAAACAACACAAAACCATGCTATAATTCAGTTGTATTAAAAATATTATCCTACTACTCTCTGTGTTCAATAGTCTCTGTACCTGTAATGCTTTCAGTTCTGTTGTATTTTGGGGCAGAGGTTTTCTCCGCTCCTTGTTTAACCCAGTAAAGAAATAAAATGTTAAGATTGATGATAACTTCCCTCTCCCTTTCTCTGTTGTTTTCTTTGGCACTATTAGGTTACACCTTGTGTCTTGTATTCTAGAGCAACCAGCTGGAATTGTACCTCACCCTGTTAGAGTGTCCCACTGCTTCATACCCCTGCATGTGTAGTAGAAGCTTTCCTGCCAGCCACAGCAGAGAACGGCAAGTGTCCTTCAGATAATTGGTTTGGGAAAGTGATGCATCCTGCCTTATGGATCCTGTGGACTCTGTCCTTTTTTGGTTTCCTACAGAATTTAAAATCAAAGGAAGAAAAGGAGCAGGAAGAATGAAGGCTCAATAACCCTTTCCTATTAAGTTTATTTTCACAACCTTTTACTTTACTTCCTTTTTATGTTTTTTCCTTCATATTTTTTGCCGTGGGTTTTACCTCGGGACCAGTGTGGGCAAACACCAGTTATCCATCTTCCACTAGGGAATATAGGTCCACCATGGTAAGTAACCGGTCAGGAGCCTGACAGATGCATATAATATAGAATTATTTGCAAATGGTCAAAAAGTCCCTGCAATGAGGCTTGGGCACTTGGCTACATGCTGGGACCTAGAGGCCAATATTAGAGTTCCGAAGGTTACACTTTGGCCATGCCTGCACTGAGCTGAAGTTAACAGTTTTGAGAGAAAAAAGCGGAAAAAGAAAGTAGAAGGGGAATGAAAAGGAGAGAGGGGCAGAAAAAAAGAAAGAAGTAACTACAAATAGCGCAAATGAAAGAAGGAAAAAGAGGAAGGAGTTGGTGGAATGGAGATACATGCAGATACACCATAAGCAATGCCAAGGGAGATGGAGTACGGCTTATTTTGTAAAATGTATGAAAGGAGAAGTTCAGTGTTGAGATGTCAAGTACCTGCTTATGTAGCTTGATTCTGTAGGCAATAGAAAGAGTATATCATAGTTAGAAGTGAAGGATTTCCTGGCCTTTCATGATATTCAACTCCCACCCCCCACCCCACCCCCATGATTAAAGCTAAATCATTCCTACCAAAGTGATTTTTGTCCGTGGCCCAGGGAGATGCTTCAGAAATGTAAATACATAATTATGTGCGATGCATCAGAGTTCACCAAATAGCAGAGATTTTACGAAACTACACACAGGCAAGGGGACCCCTGG